GTATTGTTGAGTTTACAGACTGATTCTGTTCTTTCTCAACCTTCAGCCCCCCCTTTGGTCAGCGACCCCCCAACCTCTATCAGCGACTCCCCAATCCCTATCAGCGACCCCCCGATTACTATAGGTGATTCTCCGTCCTTGATCAGCGACGCCCTTTCCTTGTCTGGTGACCACTCATCTTTCTCCCAAGATTTTTCTTTGGACCATGGCGACCTTTTTCCCTCCTTGAATTCATTATCTGTAACAACACGACCTTCTCCTTTGTTACCAAACATGGCAGTATCACCGTTACCGGTGCGTTTAACTGGCCGTATGTTCGGTGGTTTGGATCCTATTCCTACGGATCCATCTTTGGATCCTCCCCCAGGAGCTTGCTTTAATTGTTGGCAGCGAGGGCATAGGTTGAAGGATTGTCGTCGTCCACTGTGTATGTTTTGTAACAACTGTGGACGTTTAGGAACAACCCTGCTCAACTGCCCTCGTTGTTCGAGGATCCATAGGGGAGATATGGTCCACCGTTTTGGTGAGGTTGGTTATGCTCGTTTTCGTGAGCAGCGTGCCCGTCGTCTTGACAGTGTACATCAAGTTGTTGCTGCAAGTTCGTTGTCGTCGACTCTTTCACTCTCAAGCAGTTCTGGCCCATTGCCTGACACCGGTAATGAGACTTTGGAGGTTGGTTCATTAATTGAACAAATTACGAGATTGGAAAAATTTATTTCTGATCTTCCGCTTGAAATGGCTAGGGAGATTAAGATGCAGTTTTGGCGCGATAGAAGAAATGTATGAATTTAATAAATTTTTGTTTAAATTTAATTTTCTTTTCTTTTTCTTTTTGTTTGACCTGAGACCTATTATCGGCAATATTAATTAAATTAATATTGGCCTAGGGAGGGGGTTTGTAACGAAGTAAATCGTTACTTATATTTTAATTCTACTATCGTTTGCAACGTGCTATAGTGAGCGAGTTCTGTCTTCGTTTTGCTATAGCTCTGTCGCCTTTTTTCTAATTTGGCTATAGTGCGATCATTCAGCGACTTGTTTCTGTTTCACGACCGCCAGCGTATTGTTAATGCGCATGATTGTAGTGACGTTTAGTTGTCACATGGTTTTAGCGACCCTTTCCCTCTTTTAGATTTAGGCTCGAAAATTGAAGAAGGATGGACTCATGGAAAATTCGTTGGTTTGATAAAGGAAGAGTTTTCACGAAAATTCGACGGTGATTTACTTCAGATGCAAGGATTCATTAATCAGTCGTTGACGAATATCTGATCACCTCGGTTTGGTTTTGAAACGGTTCCGGCGTTATTGTTTAAAATTAATTAATTTAATTTTATTTCTAAGTTTTCTTTTTGTTATTTTAAAGACTATTTTATTATAGTAATTTATTAAGTTTGCGTTATTAAGAATAAATATTTTTTTAAAAAGGTTTTTTTCTTTGGTTGTTTATTTAAAATCAATTGTGGAATTTGTCCGTTGGATTTGGAGAGGCGTTATTCCGTTGGAGTTTTCATCAAAGGTTTGATTTTAATTTTGAGACCACTGGAGATCGTTGCATCGCGATTTATTCTCAGTTAATTCCCCTTTAATGAGATTAATTGTTTTTTTTTTGGAGTTTATCGAAATATTGAAGTTGTAATTTAAGCGTTTCGGGTAACGATGCATTTATTTGGAATTTTTTTCTAGTTGATTAAATTTAAAGTATAAAACACCCGTCACAAAGGTTGTAAATTAAAATTTAAAAAAATTTAAATTCCTGTGTAAAAATAACTTTTTTCACGGATCCTAAAGCCAATTAATTGAATATTGTATATTAACAATAAACAATTAACTATTTATTTTATAGGAAATTATTGATGTTTGGAATAGGTGTATTCCACGTCAGTTCAACACAAAAAATTTTATTAGGTTTTGGGATTCGGTTGAAATTGGGTAGATTATATCCTCTGGTGGTAATAAATAAAATCCCCAAGCGATTTTAAAAAATTTCAAAAATTGGCGGACATATTGGATTTTTAATTTTTTTGTACCTTTTTTTTTAAAAATATATATCTCTGCTTGTTCTTAACGGATTTTAGTTTAGGACCTCTTAAATTGTTCGTATTGAAATATAAATTTATTTAAAAAATTAAAATTAAAAAAATTATTTAATTTTTTTGTTTAAAAAATTAATTTAATTTTTTGAAATCCATAGAAAAAATATGCTACCTTCAATTTTGATCATTTTTTTACCATTTGTAGCCATAAATGTGTTGAACTTGTCCTGAAATTTTCATCGTGGGACAGCCAGTAGTTTTTGAGAAAAAAAATAAAACGTAAATCCTCGCATAGCGCTGTAGCGCTCAGTTTTAATGCCGCACGATTGTAAATGGAATTTTAATGAAAGTACGAGTTTTTATTAACCCTAGAACTAAAATATGATTTTTTTATAGACTAACGAAAAACTGGGGTGGTTTGGTACCCCAGATTTGAAACAATTGTAAAAGGTTACCTTTTTTGTAATTTTTTTAATTTGTCAACAATGTGGCTAATTTGAAAAAATTAAACGGATTTTAAAAGGTAAATAAAGAAAAACTGTAAGACCTCGGAAACTCCCCCGTAAAAAATAGAAACCTCCTTTGCAATAAATGATTTTTATTCTATTTTAAAATCATTTAACATTTGTATATATTGTAAATAATATTTAAATTTTCAAGTTGCCTTAATCAAAATAAAATTGTCTCTATTTACCTTTGAAAATCCGTTTAATTTTTTCAAATTAACCACATTGTTGACAAATTAAAAAAATTACAAAAAAGGTAACCTTTTACAATTGTTTCAAATCTGGGGTACCAAACCACCCCAGTTTTTCGTTAGTCTATAAAAAAATCATATTTTAGTTCTAGGGTTAATCAAAACTCGTACTTTCATTAAAATTCCATTTACAATCGTGCGGCATTAAAACTGAGCGCTACAGCGCTATGCGAGGATTTACGTTTTATTTTTTTTCTCAAAAACTACTGGCTGTCCCACGATGAAAATTTCAGGACAAGTTCAACACATTTATGGCTACAAATGGTAAAAAAATGATCAAAATTGAAGGTAGCATATTTTTTCTATGGCTTTTCAAAAAATTAAATTAATTTTTTAAACAAAAAATTTAAATAATTTTTTTAATTTTAATTTTTTAAATAAAAGTATATTTCAATACGAACAATTTAAGAGGTCATAAACTAAAATCCGTTAAGAACAAGCACAGATATATATTTTTCAAAAAAAAAGTACAAAAAAATTAAAAATCCAATATGTCCGCCAATTTTTGAAATTTTTTAAAATCGCTTGGGGATTTTATTTATTACCACCAGAGGATATAATCTACCCAATTTCAACCGAATCCCAAAACCTAATAAAATTTTTTGTGTTGAACTGACGTGGAATACACCAATAACTTTACAATATTGAAAATATTCACAAATAAATATAAATAAAAATATAAAAATAAAATTTATAAATTTTAAGAGTGTATTAGAAAATTTTGTATTTTAATGGGTAAAGTTTTAAGAAATTTTTAATATAGGAAACAATTCAATATTTTTAATGGATTATCATTATTTATTTTATTATTTTAATTTTTATTATTTATATATTCAATATTTGAAGACCGTTTTTTTCTAATTGTAATGAATTATATATTAAGTAATTTTACCTTTTTTATTGCAGACATCCTTCTTGATATGTTTGCAATGTTATGTGGATCTAATAGAAAAATTGAAAAATTTTCACGAAATATATAGGAGTTCCTATATTTCCCCTTCTTCATACTTTCGTGACAACTCTTTTGTCACAAAATTTTTTTTGCCACGTCTTTATTAGTCATAACAAAATATTGAGGGAAAAAATGTGCGATATGACAATTTTTTATGTTTGCAATTATTTAAATAATATTTTGAAAAATAATGTATTTTTTAAGCAAAATTTATTGTAATTAACACAATTACCATTTTTAAATATAAAAGTATTTTTAAGGAATAAACTGAATAATGTAATCAAATAATGATTGTAAAAGAAAAATGAAAAAATTTTAATATATTAAAAAATTGTAATTATTGGAATCTATTATTGCTTAGAAAATTAATGTACAAAATTGGAGAGGTGTTCAAAAAATGAGGTTAAGTTTATTTACATCCAGAGAAATGTTTGTAAGTTCAAGAAATGTTTATTCATATAAAATAGGTTTATATTTTATAAATCAAATATAATATATAATTTACATTTTTATGTTAGTGACCGTTCAAAATTAATTTTTGAATAAATTATTTGAGGCTCTTCGGTCGATTTAACATATTTTTGTCTAAATTTTTTCTCTCTTGGAAAGAAAACCTATAATTTAAGTAAAATTTCGAAATAAAAATTGTAATTATAATAAGAATTTTTCGAATTATTTTATTAAAAAAAATTTTTGTTTAAAGATATTTTAAATTGCAAAAATTTGTGTTTGAAGAAACTCTTTATTACTAATTCATTACTAATAAAAAAGACTTCTCTTAATTTACTTTTCGTGAACAAAACATTAAAAATGTTTTTTTAAGTATAAAATTTATAATGATAAACTGGTTTGGTCGAGTTTGTCTATTAAAAAATATTTTTATTACTAAAAAATATTTCTATTTTCTAAACATAAGTTTACAAAATGCAGTTTCAGATATTGACACAAAAAAAACATACAAGAAAATTCCCACAAGAAGCATAAATATTTTTTTTTTTAATCGCACACTTTACGAAATTTTTTAAAAAGAATTTTATACAGAATAATAACAATTTAACTAGTTTTTTTTAAGAAAAACAAATTTCCACAAATTATTTTTCTATAAATACCTAAAAATTAAAGAGTTTTTAACTCTCTTATTTCACCATTATTTAATCTAATAATATTTTCAATTTCTAAATTTTAATAATTTTGCATTTTTTTATAACGACAAAAAACTATTTTTAAAAAAAGATTTGTCACTATAAATAATTATAAACTATAAACCCATGTAACTGCAGAATATAAATGCACAGCCAATACTCAATATTATGAGGACTATTACCACCCAAATGGGAATTGTATCTGAAAAGAAAAATATATTTAATTAACGATAATTATAAATAAATTAATTAAATATTAAGTTTTAATACTGCAGATAAATTTACTTTGCGAAATAATTAAATTAATTTTATTAATTTAAAAAAAACTTAAATTTTAATTTCATGCAAAATTTGAATATAAAAGACAAAAAGAAATTTGGTTTTTTGAAAAATTTGCATGCCTCCTTTTATACTGTTTTGAAATTTAAAGTATCGAATTTCTATTAAATGAAATTTTTCAAAGTAATTTCTATCAATAATTAAAGCTCAAATTGTTCAAAATTTGGTCAATTTTACATTTAAATTAAAATCAATTAAAAATTGCATTACTTTTATTTTGAATAATAAAAATTATGATTAAAAAAAGTAGGATCACTTGCAATTAAATTTATCAAGAAAATCATTTAAATATTCCATAAAATTGTATTTATAGTAATTTTTGAGAAGCATTCAATGGAAAATGGATTTTTGTTAAATATCTGATAGAAAAATTAACATTTTTTTTTGTCATTAAGGTGTCATTTTTTTCAGAGTTCAGGCCTTGGATCGACTTTAACGATAAAAAAAGTCGCTTTAGTCGATTTAAAATAGAAAAAAAGTCGAAATAGTCGTTTATTTAATTCAGTGTCATCACAAAAATTTAATTTTTTATTCTTCTGATCTTTCACTGATTTCTAAATTTAATTATTTAAAACTTGAATCATTTCGTTAAATAAATATTTAAATACTTCTTGTTTGTTTTTATACGGAAATAAAATTTAAAAAATTTCTATTTAAAACCTTCTGAAATTTAATAACTTAAAAATTACAACTTTAATTCTCTTAAAATTCCATTATTTTCTACAATTTTTAATCAAACTTCTTCTTGAAATCAATTATTTTTAATACTTTTCCGAAAGTTCTTAAAGAATTCAATTATTTAAATACAACTTAGAATGTTTTCAGGACCTTAATTTTTGTCAAATAAATCTGTTCATATTGTGACAATAGGCCACAATATAAACAGATTTATTATTTAAATACAAAAATCCAGTTCTTTATAATGATTCTAACTGTTCATGTTTTTTAAGTTATTAATTAATTTTCAAAAAATTATAATAAAGAAATTCTTAAAATTAATTTTTCAAAAATATTTTTAAAATAATTTGTGAAAGATAATAGTTTTTCAATTATATAGAATTGAAAAATTTCCAAACAATTGAGATTTGGTAAATTCTATTAAAAAAATAATTGAATTTTTAAAGAATTTTAATTATTAATATAAACACGATTTCTCCAAAATTTTAATAAATCTAAAAAGTTCATATGTTGTTAAAATGTTAAAAATAATTGTAAAAAATTCTAATGTTATTATTTTTTGTACGTATTTGAATTTTTGGAAATTTGTATTTGAAAATATTGAAAATAATTGAATTTTAAAAAAATTAGAATGCAAAAAATTCTAAGAATTATTTTTTTCAAAAATATTTTAATATAATTTTTTTGAAGCTAATTTTCATTAATTAACATTTTGAAATTTACACTCGAAGATTTTTCATTAAAATTTTTGAGAAATCAATTATTTTCAAATATTACAATTAAAATTCTTTTAAAGTTTATTTTCAAAAATTTTTATCAAACACTTTGAATAAAATCAATTATTTTCAATTAAATTTTACAAAATTTCAATTATTGAAACTTTTTTTTATTGCAAATTTTGAAAATTTATTTAGTATTTATAAAAATAGTTGAATTGTGTCGAAGAAATTATTAAAAATTTTAGGAAATAATTGAATTTTATGGAAATATTTGAATTCTTCCGAGAAATTCAATTAAATATGTTTTGAAAATAATTGAATTACTGCAAAGAATTTTACTATTTATAAAAATAATTTAATTCTTGCGAATAATTTTGCCATTTATAAAAATAATTGAATTGTTTCGAAGGATTTATTAAAATTTTAGAAAATAATTGAATCTATTCGAAATATATATTAAAATTTTTTTTAAATATTAAATTCTTCTGAGGAATTCAATTTCAATTATTTTCAAAATTTGCAATTAAAATTCTTCAAAAGTTGACTTTTAAAAATTTCTATAAAACACTTTTAAAAAAATCAATTATTTTCAATTAAATTTATTACAAAATTTCAATATTTATTGAAACTATTTTCAATGGTAAATTTCGAAAATAAGTTGCATTTTATATTAAAAATTATTGCAATATTCGGAAGAAAAGTCGAAAAAGTCGAAAATGGTATAATATCCGAGGCATGTAGTCATGAAAAAAGTAGAGGTCGCACTATTACCGTCCGTAGTGTATCGTTTTTCTTTGCAAGGCAGTTTTAAATCTTGAGAATTATTAAAATTAATCCCCTTTCGCCTGTGATAAAAATGAAAACTTACATCTATATGGCAAGCTGTGAATGCAAATCCGGTTATCAACGGATATGCTGACAACAGCCGCTTCAGCGTTGCTCGTTATCGTTGGACCATCATTTTTGGTGGGTAAAAATTCAAGACCAGTGACGAACATACTGTGCGCACCAGGAATATGAAGAACTCTTTGTAAACTAAATGCAATGAACATGTCGACACTGCCAGAGAACATTGTTCCCACAGCTACCAATCTTCCATTATCGGAAACTGCCAGCGCTGACAGTGTCTCTTGAAATGGCACCGACTTCATAATAACACCGGCATCGACATTCCAAAGTTGAAGGAAACTAGGATTTTTCCCAACTGTTGCATTCGACAATGTTAATAATTGTGTTTTAGGAACTTTTTCATCGGGATCCCTGAATCGACATCTTTTGTATAAATATTTCATATTTCCAGGCACATTCCAAGTGAGTTCTCTTTTTTTCATTTCACTTTTTATATCCCAAACAAAGGCTTTTCCATCTTTGGCTATTGACACCAGTAAATTACCCTCGGCATTAAAATCTATATCGTCGATTTCTTTTGTGTGAGCTTCTAAATCGTGGAATTTGATAAGTTCAGGGAATTTCCAGAGTCTAATTCGTCCGTCTGTGCCTCCGGTGGCCATTAATTCTCCTTTTGGACAAAGTCGCACGATTCTTTGCAGTGGTTCCGGTTGTCTAGAAAATAATTCTTCAATAAATACGAGTAAAATTACATATGTTCATTAAAATTCCTATCTATATGAATAAAATCAGATTTTTGTCTATGAATTGCTTACAACTAATGTTATGGTACCTTTTTAAAAATTCGCAAATTCAAAATTTTCAATTTTTTCATATATTACAATCAATTTTACTCAAACTTGGTACAGGGTTAATTTTAGTGTTTGTTATCAAGATTTTGTCGCCAAAATAGTAAAATTGCGAAATACAAATTTAAAATTTAGGATTCAAATATTTAAGGGTCAGAAAATCTAAAACTCAAAAATTGTTTTTTTTGTACTTTGGTACATATTGAAATTTTAAACTTATGAAATTTTTGAAAATAAGATTTTGGTTCTAAGAAAAACACATTTATTTTTTTTATTTTTATTTTTCAAAATTTTTTGGTGAATTCTTCTTGTGAGAAATTTTATTATTTTTCAAAATAATTGAATTCTTGCAAAGAATTTTATTAAAATTTTTGAAAATCCTAATTAAATTTTTTTGAAGAATTTCTTTGAATTTTTTTTTAAATAATGGAGTTTCTTAAATAATTTTAATTGAAAATTTTGAAAATAATTGAATTTTTTAGAAAAATTTTATTAAAAATTTTTAAGAAATTGAATTGTTTCGAAGGATTTATTAAAATTTTAGAAAATAATTGATTTTTTTCAAAAAATATTATTAAAAACTAAAAAAAACTGAAGTCTGTCATGAAATTTTATTAAAATTGTTTTAAAAATAATTGAATATTGTTGCAAAAGAATTTTACTATTTATAAAAATAATTGAATTGTTTGGAAGGATTTATTAAAATTTTAGAAAATAATTGAATTCTTTTGAAAAATTTTATAACGAATGAAAAAAAAATTGAATTCTTTCGTAAGATTTTTTTGAAAATTGAATTTTTCCAAGATTTTACTATTTAAAAAAATAATTGAATTGTATGGAAACATTTATTAAAATTTTATAAAATAATGAAATTCTTCCGAAGAATGTTATTATTTATGAAAATAATTAGATTTTTGCGAAGAATAACATTAAAATTTTTGAAATTCTGATAAGAATTAATTTTAAAAAATTTTCAGTTGAAATTTTAGTAAATAATAATTGAATATTAGAAACGTTATAACAGGAATTTTAACAAACAACAGTTTTTAAATGTTTTTATATTGAAATCTTTGAAAATTTTAATCGTTGTAAAAGTAGAATAATATTTAAGTGTTTATTATAAAAATAAGAAATATATTATTTTCCTCTAAAAATTATTAAAGTTTTGAGTAATTTTATTCAAAAATTTTATTAAGAGTTAAATTTTGAAAGAATTGCAGTTGTAATTTTTAGAAATAATTAAATTTGAAAGGGTTTTGTTTATTTGAAATTTTATTTCTATGGAAAAATTAATAAAAAACAATAAGTAACAGTTAAATATTAATTTGACAAAAATATTAAATTTCTTGAATAATTTAATTTAAAAATTGTGAAAAAATTCGATTTTTTAAAAATTGTAATTAAAATATTTTTGTTTTAATTTAAAAAAAAAACAACGCAGAAAGTTTTTTAAAGTAACAATGGCCATTAAAATTTTACGCACGTGTAGTTATGCTAGTCTGAATGATAAGAGAGAAATTTAAAAAGAATTCAAAAATTTTTAAAATACAATCAATTGTTTGATATGAAATATATCACATTTTATGATAAAACTCCTTGATTTCAATTTTTCTTTAAAAGAAATGTATCGAAATGACTTTATTTGAATGAATTTGAAATTAATTTTAATTTACATTCCTTTATTGTCAGAGTTTTAGTTTTGTAAAAGTCATTTCCATACATTTTTAAAAAGAAAAATTGAAAACAAGAAGTTTTATCATAAAAAGTGATATATTTCTAATTAGTGTAATTAAATGACAATTCCACGTGAATCGATCAAGTAAAAATGTTTACTTTCTAGAATTAGCCTGAAACTCTGGAAACTTGTTTTTTATTCAAATAATAAAATTCTAAAATACTGTTAACTTTTTGATAAATAAATTATGTAAATTATGGAGAGCTAAATTTTTATTTTCAAATCCATATAATTTCAACAAAACTTTGACAGATTTTAAGTTTTATATAGTGAATTTTAAACCATTTTTTGTATAGTTTTTAACGATAAATATCTTTTGTCAAAAAATAATTTTTTAATCTCACTTTTCAAAAATAAATCTTATTTTTCCATTTTTACAAAAACTACCAATATTTTAAATTTTTTTATTATTTTGATTAGAAAGCTGAGACTTTCTTTAATAAATTATCTAAAATTTAAAAATGAGACAATGCGTTTTCAAGAAAAAAATTTTTTTTTAAGTTTGTTTTATCTTTTCAAAAGTATATTGTTATTCTATTTTCAAAATTTACATAATTATTACTCACCCGAAATCTGTTTGTATACTGTCCATGGGTTTAATAATTAATTGTAATCGTTTACTTTTGAAATTTGAATTATTGTCTTTAACTTCTTCTATTCTTTCGTGATTATTCGATTGTTCATCACTTTTTTCACTCTGTTTTCGTTGCCTAAGACCTGAATTAAAATTAGCAGATTTTTTCGGAATTTCGCCATTCTCGACAGTGATGATTTTCGAATGTACATTGTATAATTGACAGTGACTCTCCTGACCAGCTGCAATCCAGGATCTTTTCTTATCACTGAATGTAGCACAATTCATCACAACACTTGGTCCTGTTTCATGACGAGTCACTTCTTCGGCAATAAATTGATAACCATCGTGTGACAATTCAAATATTTCCTGTAAAACATTTGGTAACTTGTAAATTTTCGGTTTATTCAACAAAATTCAATAGAATTTTAAAAAATAAAATATAAATCAAACTTCTTGATTATAATTTGTAACTATATTGTATTTTTTGTTATTAATCTTTGTAAAAATATTTATTCAGGGTTGCCACAAAAATTACTTACGAATTTCTTTAATTGTAAAATTATTTAAAAACATCAATTACTTCTTTTTTAAATAAATATTTCATCATTTATTATTATTTTTCCATAGAAATGAAGATTTTAGAAAATTTCAAATTCAAATCTTTTTGAAATTCAATAAATTAGGTATAAGAATATTATTATTAAAAAATTATTATTTTCTGCAATTTTTAGATAAAATTCTTCTTTAAATCAATTATTTTTAATAATTTTAAAATAAATTTGTTTACAATTCAATTTTATGAAATTTCGATTATTCGGAAAATAAAAATAAAAATAAAAATAAAAAAACTTCAAAAGAAACTAAAAACTTCAAATAATTTTAAAAAAATTTAATTAAACTAAATAAAAAAAACTTAATTCTACAAAATTGATAGTTTTACAATTCGATTTTACGAAATATACATTAGAAAATAAAAACTTGAAATAATTTTTAAAAATTTGGATTAAGCTTTTTGAAAAAAATAGTTTCATAGAATTTTTAATTAAAACTATGATAATAATTGAATGTTTCTTAAAATTGAATTCTCATAAAGCATTTTATCAACAAATTTTTAAATAATTGAATTCTTTCCACAAATTTTAATAAAAATTTTAAGAATCATTACATATTTCGAGAAATTCGATTAAAATTGTATTAAAAGTAATTGAAATCTTGCGAAGAATTGAATTTTTTTTGAAAATAATTGAATTAATGCGAAGAATTTTATAAAAAAAAGTTGCAAACAATTGATTTTTTTCGAAAAAATTTATGCAAATTCTATTTTTAATAATTGAATTTCTGTAAAATTTTCATTATTTTAGAAAATAATTGAATATTCGTGTAGAATTTTGTTAAAATTGTTTTTTTGAATTCCTTTGAAATTACATATTATTATTTTGAAAAATAATTGAATGTTTGTGTAGAATATTATTAAAATTTTTGTTTAATAATTAAATTCTTTTGGAAAATTTTATTAAAATAGTAGAATAATGACAATCATTGAATAAAGAAAATTTTTTGAGAATAATTGAAATTTTGCCATAAATTTTATTAAAACTTTTGAAAATAATTGAATACTTGTGATGAATACTATTATTTATGAAAGTAATTGAATTTTGTAATGAATTTGTATTAAAATTTTTGAAAATAATAATTGAATTTCGGCAAAGAATTTTGCTATTTATAAAAATAATTGAAATGTTGACGAGAATTTTTTTTTAATTTTTGAAAAAAAATTTTGAGTTAAAACTACCTAGCGTTGATTACACAGTTAATATTGTATAATATAAGTTGCGGTTTCAACTTTTAGATTGTAAGAGTACTATGTACGAAAGGGCTTGTCCCGTATACTTGTTAAATAAATAAATAAATAAAATAATTGAATTTCTACGATGAATTTTATTAATTTTTAAATATAATTTAATTCTGGCGATGAATATTGTTGTTTATGAAAATAATTGAATTTTGTCATGAATTTTATTAAGATTCCTGAATATAATTGAATTTCGGCGAAGAATTTTGCTATTTATAAAAATAATTGAAATGTTGTCGAGAATTTTTTCTAAAATTTTTGAAAATAATAATTTAATTCCTGTGAAATTTTCATTATTTTAGAAAATAATTGAATATTCGTTAAGAATTTTGTCAAAATTGTTTTTAAATAGGGTAAGTGCGTCAATTGCTGCGGGTGCTTTAGTTTCTGCGGCATTTTAATAATTTAAGTGAATACATTTGTTCAGGGCACAAATAATTTTGAAATTTTTTTTAAAAATTACTTAACGATGTAAGTTTTAAAATAGATATAGGAAGTATATACCAAAACATAATATTTATGTATTTAATTTTAATTAAAAGTTGACGTGTTCAAGGTTTTATTTATTTTCATTGCTAACTTTGCTGGCGGTGCAAAAATACCTACATAAAAAAGGCTTTATTATTGTTTTTAGACTTAAAGTGGTTATTATTATGATGATTTTAGATAAAGAAAACCTTGTTTTAAAAGAAAAATTAAACTTTACTTTATTTTTGTCTGTTATTATATTTTATTTTTAAGAGTAGTAATTAACACAGAATTTGGGCTTGATTTAATTTCTGCGCCCTCAGAAAATCAACTAAGACTGGTTACAATAGACTATCTATTTTGAAAAAGAGCAAGAAAAAATTATTAAAATGAAAGAAAAAATGAAGATTATGGAGGAAAAACTGAATAAAATTTAATAAATACATAAATTAATTAAGGAAGAATTCTGTTATTAAGTTTTAACTAAATATGTTTCAAAAATGTGATAATTCAGAAATTATTTGTTACTTTTGTTAATATATGATATATATTTATTTTTAATAAATTTATATTCTATTCAATTAAACATTGATTAAAATCATTGTCCCATTTTGATTTCATAGTAGTTTGCGGTATTATACACATAAACACGAAATTATGCGCAGAAACTGACCCACAGGAATTAAATTCGCGCAGCAACTGATGCGCAGCAACTGACTCAAACGCGCAGAATTAAACGCATTGAATATTATTTTTAATTCATTAAATTTATTAAAATAAATTATATTTTAGAGATGTTATTTATTGTAAACATATCTTAATAACACAAACTACAAATTTAATAAGACATAAGTTCAATTTGATCAATATAAAAATTATATTTTATAGTTAAAAGACGTCTTGACCAAAATACCGCAGGAATTAGTACACTTACCCTATGTCTTATTAAATTTGTAGTTTGTGTTATTAAGATATGTTTACAATAAATAACATCTCTAAAATATAATTTATTTTAATAAATTTAATGAATTAAAAATAATATTCAATGCGTTTAATTCTGCGCGTTTGAGTCAGTTGCTGCGCATCAGTTGCTGCGCGAATTCAATTCCTGTGGGTCAGTTTCTGCGCATAATTTCGTGTTTATGTGTATAATACCGCAAACTACTATGAAATCAAAATGGGACAATGATTTTAATCAATGTTTAATTGAATAGAATATAAATTTATTAAAATTAAAAATAAATATATATCATATATTAACAAAAGTAACAAATAATTTCTGAATTATCACATTTTTGAAACATTTAGTTAAAACTTAATAACAGAATTCTTCCTTAATTAATTTATGTATTTATTAAATTTTCTTTAGTTTTTCCTCCATAATCTTCATTTTTTCTTTCATTTTCATAATTTTTTCTTGCTCTTTTTCAAAATAGATAGTCTATTGTAACCAGTCTTAGTTGATTTTCTGAGGGCGCAGAAATTAAATCAAGCCCAAATTCTGTGTTAATTACTACTCTTAAAAATAAAATATAATAACAGACAAAAATAAAGTAAAGTTTAATTTTTCTTTTAAAACAAGGTTTTCTTTATCTAAAATCATCATAATAATAACCCTTTTAAGTCTAAAAACAATAATAAAGCCTTTTTTATGTAGGTATTTTTGCACCGCCAGCAAAGTTAGCAATGAAAATAAATAAAACCTTGAACACGTCAACTTTTAATTAAAATAAAATACATAAATATTAAGTTTTGGTATATACTTCCTATATCTATTTTAAAACTTACATCGTTAAGTAATTTTTAAAAAAAATTTCAAAATTATTTGTGCCCTGAACAAATGTATTCACTTAAATTATTAAAATGCCGCAGAAACTGAAGCACCCGCAGCAATTGACGCACTTACCCTATTCTTTCGAAAATTTTTCGAAAAACATATTTTTGTCCTTTGTACTGGTGTATTCCACGTCAGTTCAACACAAAAAATTTTATTAGGTTTTGGGATTCGGTTGAAATTGGGTAGATTATATCCTCTGGTGGTAATAAATAAAATCCCCAAGCGATTTTAAAAAATTTCAAAAATTGGCGGACATATTGGATTTTTAATTTTTTTGTACCTTTTTTTTTAAAAATATATATCTCTGCTTGTTCTTAACGGATTTTAGTTTAGGACCTCTTAAATTGTTCGTATTGAAATATAAATTTATTTAAAAAATTAAAATTAAAAAAATTATTTAATTTTTTTGTTTAAAAAATTAATTTAATTTTTTGAAATCCATAGAAAAAATATGCTACCTTCAATTTTGATCATTTTTTTACCATTTGTAGCCATAAATGTGTTGAACTTGTTCTAAAATTTTTATCGTGGGACCGCCAGTAGTTTTTGAGAAAAAAAATAAAACGTAAATCCTCGCATAGCGCTGTAGCGCTCAGTTTTAATGCCGCACGATTGTAAATGGAATTTTAATGAAAGTACGAGTTTTTATTAACCCTAGAACTAAAATATGATTTTTTTATAGACTAACGAAAAACTGGGGTGGTTTGGTACCCCAGATTTGAAACAATTGTAAAAGGTTACCTTTTTTGTAATTTTTTTAATTTGTCAACAATGTGGCTAATTTGAAAAAATTAAACGGATTTTAAAAGGTAAATAAAGAAAAACTGTAAGACCTCGGAAACTCCCCCGTAAAAAATAGAAACCTCCTTTGTAATAAATGATTTTTATTCTATTTTAAAATCATTTAACATTTGTATATATTGTAAATAATATTTAAATTTTCAAGTTGCCTTAATCAAAATAAAATTGTCTCTATTTACCTTTGAAAATCCGTTTAATTTTTTCAAATTAACCACATTGTTGACAAATTAAAAAAATTACAAAAAAGGTAACCTTTTACAATTGTTTCAAATCTGGGGTACCAAACCACCCCAGTTTTTCGTTAGTCTATAAAAAAATCATATTTTAGTTCTAGGGTTAATCAAAACTCGTACTTTCATTAAAATTCCATTTACAATCGTGCGGCATTAAAACTGAGCGCTACAGCGCTATGCGAGGATTTACGTTTTATTTTTTTTCTCAAAAACTACTGGCTGTCCCACGATGAAAATTTCAGGACAAGTTCAACACATTTATGTCTACAAATGGTAAAAAAATGATCAAAATTGAAGGTAGCATATTTTTTCTATGGCTTTTCAAAAAATTAAATTAATTTTTTAAACAAAAAATTTAAATAATTTTTTTAATTTTAATTTTTTAAATAAAAGTATATTTCAATACGAACAATATTTAAGAGGTCATAAACTAAAATCCGTTAAGAACAAGCACAGATATATATTTTTCAAAAAAAAGTACAAAAAAATTAAAAATCCAATATGTCCGCCAATTTTTGAAATTTTTTAAAATCGCTTGGGGATTTTATTTATTACCACCAGAGGATATAATCTACCCAATTTCAACCGAATCCCAAAACCTAATAAAATTTTTTGTGTTGAACTGACGTGGAATACACCAATAACTTTACAATATTGAATTTTAAATGTTTTAAAACAATAACGTTTTCCAAAAAAAAAATCGAAATATATTTCAAATTGGAAAAAAATAGTTTAAGTTTCGTGAAGAAGAAAACTAAAAATGTCGCATTCAAATTCAAAATCGTCGAGTCTATTTAAACAAGCGGTTATTCAAATCGGAGCCGGAGGTTCGGCAGGTTTTGTGGAAGTCTGCATTATGCATCCAATGGATCTCGTGAAGACGAGATTTCAACTTCAAGTGAAAACAAATAAAGTTGATCCTTTATATTATACTGGTGAGTATATTATAATGGTCATTCGGTTAAATTCAATGAAATTAGGAATTTCACAAAATTTGTCTTCGTCATCTCATGCCTTTTGTTTATTCAAAACTTTTAGTAAATTATCGATTCACACTTAACTATTGTTATTAACTGAAAAAAAATTTTAAAAAAGGAAACAAAATCTATTTTTTCTAAAGCGATAAACTTCTTAATTGAAATATTTCATAATAAAATTAATACATCTACAGTGGTATCTCTCAATAGAGCAATTCCACGTAAACTGTTGTAATCGAATAACAGAACCAAAATAGAACATACCCAAACAGAAATGGCTCATCAATATTATGTCAAATTGATCGTCAAATTTTCGTATAATTAATTTCTCGAATTGACAAAAATGAAAAATTTAGAAAATTAAAAAAAAAATATTTTTTAAATTTTGAATTTCACATTTTGATCATTTTTTGACGTCAGTTTGACATAATTTTGACATTAATTTGACGATAATATTTGTCAGTACTAAATTAATTTTTTGAAGATAATTTTCAATAAATTTACCATTTTCTAATTTTTATTTGAAGATTTTCCATTAAAACTTTCGAGAATTTAATTATTTTTAGAATTTGCAATTAAAATTCTTCAAACTTATATTTTCAAAATATTTTATAAAATACTTTAACCGAGAGCTGTAAAATGAATAATAGTTAAAGTAATTATATTTTGGTTGAACAATAAAATTTAACCCTAGTAAAAGTAATCATCCGTAATCACACGTAATTTTTTTAATAGGGTATAAATTTATACAAAAATTTTTTTTTATTTTTACGAAATTTTGACATTTTTAATTTAAAGTAAAATTTTTTTGTTCTATAACGAACATTAGAATATATTATTAAATTATCTACTTTTCAATTACATTTTATCATTAAATTGAAAAATTTTGTCTTTCATCAAATCTACGTCAATTTTATCTCAATTTAAAGAAAATTGATCTTTAATAGATAAATGCATAAAATCTAAAATATAATAATATTAATTATTATTACAATTATTTAACGCTTAAAAAATTGTCAAATTTTTGAAAAATTGCAATCATTGATTATAATATTGACGACATTGTAATATTATATTTATTTAGTATTGACGTTGGTTAATTGAAGATTTCTCTTTTTGGTATAAAATTTTTTATTTCGAATATCAACTTCAATTTTTAAAAAATTTCAGATTCAAAATTAAAAAAAATTCTTTTATTAACTAATTAAAGGGAGGATGTACCGATATTTTTAACTATTAGTGTATGGAGAAAAAATATTAAATATTCCGTAAAATTTTATTATTGTAATTTTTTGTGAAAAATAAAATCGTGGTCATAAGATAAAATTTAAAAAACATTTTGACCTAATTTTAATTAATTTTACTAGCCAAACTATCCGCGCGCAAGCGCGCGGGAATGTTGTATGGGGCTGGTTATTTTAAACAATTTAAAAAATTTTAAAGAAATAATTATTATAATCTAACAAAGAGATTTAACTAACTAAAATTCAAATAATTTGACTCAATGGTCTCAATTTAAATAGAATTTACATTACTAGACTTAAACTATGGCTAGAACAATTACAATTAGTATCTGGGTCATCTTTTGCATTGCTTATTTTATAAAGCCATTTTAAATTAAATACATTTTTAAGAAATAATAATTATTACACACTGAAAAAAGTTTTACTTGAAATAGCGATAAGTTTCTCTAGAATAACAAAAGTATTAATTGAAGCACTGAAAAATTTCGCTACTAAAGTGAAATCTGTAGTTCATCCAGCTAAATATTTTTTGCCGTGCATAACAAAGAAAGAATTAAATTAACATCAGATTTTCTACATTCAAAAAAAAAACGAATTCAAATAGAAATTAATTATTTTACAACTCAACCAAATTCACCCCAGAAATCACTGAATTCGATAATTTAGAAGAAAGTCAGACAAAAGCAGGGTTCCTACAGAATCTGGAAATCATGGAAATCATGGAAATGGTATGGAATTTTTAAAAGGCTTCTGGAAATCAGGGAAATCATGAAAAAGGCCTGGAATTTTTAAAAGTTTCTAAATTTTTTCAGTTTTCCATTTTTTCTCATGAATAAAAATTCAAATAATAATAAAGCTAAATTGTATAAAAGAGAAGAAAAAATGTTGAATTTTAAGAAATTCGATTTTTCGGATTTTTGATAATTTTAAATAATTTTTGATTTTTTACCAAAGAGTCAAGACAATTTAATAAGTAAAGTACTTTCCAAAAGCACAAAAATAATGAAGCTAAATCCCATAAAAGAGAAGAAAAAATGTAGAATTTTAAGAAAATCGGATTTTTGAATTTTTTTTGAATTTTTGATAATTTTAGATTTTTTACCAAAGAATCGAGAGTTTTGAATAAGTAAAGTATTTTCCAAAAGCACAAAAATAATAAAGTTCAATCCCATAAAAGAGAGGTAAAAATGTTGTATTCTAAGGAATTCGGATTTTTGAATTTTTTTGCAATTTTAGATACTTTTAGATTTTTTACCAAAGAGTCGAGAGTTTTAAATAAGTAAAGTATTTTCCAAAAGCACAAAAATAATAAAGCTAAATCCCATAAAAGAGAGGAAAAAATGTTGAATATTAAGAAATTCAGATTTTTGAATTTTTTCGAATTTTTGATAATTTTAGATTTTTTACCAAAGAGTCGAGACTATTAAATAAGTAAAGTATTTTCCAAAAGCACAAAAATAATAAAGCTAAATCCCATAAAAAAAGAGAAAAAATGTTGAATTTTAAGAAAATCGGATTTTTGAATTTTTTCGAATTTTCGATAATTTTGGATTTTTTACCAAAGAGTCGAGACTATTAAATAAGTAAAGTATTTTCCAAAAGCACAAAAATAATGAAGCTAAATCCCATAAAAAAAGAGAAAAAATGTTGAATTTTAAGAAATTCGGTTTTTTGAATTTTTGATAATTTTCGATAATTTTAGATTTTTTACCAAAGAGTCGAGACTATTGAATAAGTAAAGTATTTTCCACATTAAAAGGTTTGACATTAAAAAATATATAAAAAATGCCAATACTTAACCCACAAAATTTAATTTTTAAAACAAACAAATGAATGCAGATAATTTGCTAACGGAAAGGAAACTTACGATTATTATAATGTATTTTCTCCTAAAAATTCATAGATTTTGAAATTCTCATGTGTAATTTTGAAGAAATTATATTTTTGCATCCACAAAAAATTGCCTAATGAAAAATTTGATTTTTACTACTTTTTAAGCATTAGTTTTGAGAAAAAAATTGTTTCTTAGATATAATTTTTTTTATATAATTCTGAAAAATTCTATTAAAATTCATCAAAAGAAATCAATTATTAAAAAATTTGATGATATAATCTTATATAAGAATTCAATTTTAAGAAACATTCAATTGTTATTATTTTCATAAATAATAAAAATTTCAGAGGAATTCAATTATTTTTAATACAATATTTTAAATCAAATTCATCGAAAAATGTAATTATTCTTAAAAATTTTATTAAAATTCGTCAAAAGAATTCAATTATTTAAAAATTTATTAATAAAATTCTTTATGAGAATTTGATTTTAAGAAACATTAAAATATTCAATAAATTATTTTATTATTTAAATAATTGAATTCTCGTAGAATTTTCTAAAAAAAATTGATTGATAATTCGACTTTTTTAAAATTATTTAAAGTTCTTATTTCCTAAAATATATTTATGTAATTAAGGAATTTTCGAAAAATCGAAATTTCGTAAAATTGAATAATTAATGGATTTGAGAATTCTCAAAAAACTTTATCAAAAATTATTAAAATTACTAAAATTGTAGAAAATAATAATTGAATAAAAATTATGAAATTAATTTTAAAGAAGTTGCAGTATCAATATTTTTATAATGCAAAATAATGATTTTATCACTCGGTCATCTTTAATTATTATTAAACATGGAGAAATTGATTACTCTGAGTCGAAGACTCGGAGTGATCATTTTCTTCATGTTTTCTGTTAAATATTCTTATAAGTTATTTAATTCCAAAAAGTTTGTACTTGAAATTTTTTAAAAACTTTTCAAAATTTTTTCAAAATTTTTTTCAAAATTAAATTTTTGTAGCAACTCCGATTATTATTTTCTCCTGAATTGGCATCGTTTCTTTTTAAAACTGCATTTTAAATGATATTCTATAAAATGATATTCTATAAAAGCGAGAAAGAAACTCTAGAATAATGTCAATTGAAAAAATTTACTATTCAGGAATCGGAGACTGTATGAAAAAGATGTACAAAAATGAAGGCCTCGCTTCTTTCTGGAAAGGAATATTACCGCCAATTTTATCTGAAACTCCAAAAAGAGCCGTGAAGGTAATAATTGGTTAATAGAAAAGAATTAAAATAATTTCAGTATTCAATCTAAATTTAAACAGACAAGAGTAAAATTACCTTTTTTCACAGTTCTTTTCTTTCGAGCAATATAAACCGCTTTTCCTCTTTGGTGCCAGTGCTCCAACTCCCATAGTAAGTAATATAATTATTTATTCATATATTTTTTCCATAATGAAAAAGTTTTCATATTATCTTCATTTATCTCAGATTATAGAGAACATAACTTATAATAACAATTCAAATGTGTTTTCAATTAGACATTCGCATTGGCTGGATTTTTCGCTGGCATGACGGAAGGTATATTCGTAAATCCATTTGAAGTTATTAAAGTGCAATTGCAGTCGAATCGTAAGAAGATGACTGAAACTCCATCGACGTTCGCTGTGACAAGAGAGATTATTAGAAAAAATGGATTTGGTTTTAATGGTCTTAATAAGGGATTAAGTGCAACAGTTATGAGAAATGGCGTTTTTAATTTAGTTTACTTAGGATTTTATCATTCCGTTAAAGGCTATCTTCCAGTGAGCAACGATCCGAAATTGAATTTTTTAATGAAGGTACGTTTTAATAATATTTAATATGTACCTATTTCTATTAACTTTTCGAACTCTCAACTATCAAGTTTATAGAGTTTTTTTTTTTTTTTTAAATGTATTATTTTTTAAAAAATGTAATTTTTTTTTTTTCTTCAAAAATACTAATATTTCAAAATAAGTTTTGAATGTAATAGAATTAAATTCTTTCAACTATCAAAAATTTATTTCAATGAAATTTGACAAAACTTTTAATTGATTCAATTTTTTTTTGGATTATTTTCGAGAATTCAATTATTTTCATTTGAAAATCAGTTTGAAATAGAATGCCTCGCTTAGAATATAAAAATAATTAATTTAATCATTAATTGCGTCACTGATTATACGTAATATGTATTACTTAATTTAATTATTCCTAATTACCGGAATGAATATTTTTTGGAACTTGTTTAGGTCGGCATTGGTTTTTCGGCTGGAACAATGGCCTCTTGTTTAAATATTCCATTCGACGTGGCCAAAAGTCGTATTCAAGGGTCACAAAATAATGAGTATAGAGGAACGTTAAGAACAATCGCTACTGTTTATAGACAAGAAGGGTATGTATATTAAAAATATATAATTGTAAATCTTTTAGGACAGGGTTGCCACAAAAATTTTATTTTGTTTTTCCCTGACTTTTCCCTGATTTCTATGACTTGTGGCAATCCTGTAGGATGATTTGCACAAAAAAACTTCGAATACCAATTTTATTAATAATTTAAAATTATTTATTACTTAGTCATTAATTTTTATTTTTGAAGTAAAATAGAAAAATATGAATTTTTCAAATATTTCCAACAGATTCAGAGCCCTTTACAAAGGATTATTACCAAAAGTTTTACGACTAGGTCCTGGCGGAGCAATAATGTTAGTTGTCTATGACTACATGCACGCTTACCTCACAGTCAAGCTGAAGAATTAAATACTATCTTTCTTTCTATTCACAATAATTGTAATTGACGACGTTTCAATGTTATCGGACAATCGAACTAGTCTTTCTGCATATTCGTCGAAAAAAGAAAACAAAACAAAAGAACAAATACACTTTTTTCAATATCACCAAAACATTGTGTTCCTTTTCACACAGAAAACATCAAAATAACTCTGAAACACAGAATTCGGTGCAATGAGAACTAAACATCCAAAACAGTTTCAAGCCAATTTTCAAGATCCACAGATTTTGTTGGTACAGTACCAAATGTGTACATAGGCTCTACAAAAAAAACGTAATTTTTCAATCTATTTTATACTTTAGAATAAATTAAAAATAGTTAAATGTTGTAAAATGATTGAAAAAAATTTTATATTTTTGTACTTTGAGAATAAATATAGAAGAAACAAATGGTTTCTCTAAAGGTAAATTTACTTTTGAATTTCTTTGATCTGCATAACATATTTTTTGTTTGAAAAAAAGAAACACCTTCATTAGTTGATTTTCATTTAATTACTTTTACTAATTTTGTTCTAAGGCTGCGTCTGCAACAGAATAAATAATGTGTAGAAAATTGTGTAATATATAGTGTAATTGCCCCTGACAGTTGTCAATGCCAAAAACAATACACATTACACTACCAATTACACATTATTTTTTTCTATTGTAGACGCAGCCTAATTATTTACATTTTTTTCAACTAACCTATAGGCCAGTGGTTTATAATAAAAATTTGTTCCAACTTTTCGAAATTCAAATTTAATTTCCTTTTTATATATTTTCTATTATTTTTCATTTCTTAATTCATTAGGTACAATTTTGTGTGTCTTTTAAATTTATTTTTTTTATTTTTAATTTCTTAATTTTATATATTTTTATTTTAAATTTACTGTTTCTACTAATTTTTATTTTAAAAAAGCGTCTATTAGTTCGTTTAAAAGTAGAAAAAAATTTTTTTTTATTAATCCATCTTAATTAATTTTATTTATTGCATTATTTTGATAAATTCCCTAATAAAAAAATCATTTAGATTTTTAAAGCAAATTTTTATTAAAAACTACTTGTCCGATTGTATTAGTTTTGTTGTTTTCCTACAATTTGAATATACATAATTAATAAAATATAATTAAATTGAAAATCATTAAAATAGAATATATTTAATATAATTATTTAAACCGTATAAAGGCCTCGTAAAAATTACTACTAAACATAAAAAAACGAATGTAAAAAATTACAAACAATTAACTTTAATTAATTCATTCAATATTGTTTGGAATCCATAAATTATATAAATAAAAGTTAATTAACTAACATTAAAATTGAAAAGTATTAATGGAAAATAGTTTTACCTTTTATTTTCGATTTGGAAATAACTTGAGAAAGCATAGGAATTTTTGAAATCGGTGCATCCATTGTTAAAAGAGTGTCTAATTCATCTTCAAGGTTATCAATTTCCGAAGTTTTATCATTTTTACAATCACCAGAAGCATTTTTCTCATCAATTTCTGTTCTTTCTTCATTACTCACTGTAATTGTCAATTCTGTATCCTAAAAAGAATAATTAAATTTAATACATATAATCTATTTTTCAATAAAGAGTTAAAATAATAAAAGTATTTTATTTTAATTTTTACTTTAAAACCTTTTGCAATTTAATTCTTTTTATAAATTCTTACAGCAATTCTTCCAATATTCAATTATTTTCTAGAATTTTTAAATAAAATTCTTCACTAAATCAATTACTTTTGATAATTTTTAGAAAATTCTTCGAGAATTTAATTATTATTCAAGAAAAAGAAAGTTTATTTAAAATTCGTCTAAAATTTAATTGTTTTAAACTCAATAAATATTACAAAATTTATATTCTTCGAAAGTTTTTTAATTAAATAATAGGTACATAATATTCAAAAAATCAAATAATTTTTTTAAAAAAATCAATTAAAATTTTTCCAAGAAATAAGTTCAATAATAATTTATTGTTTAAAATTTAATTGTTTTAAACTCAATAAATATTACAAAATTTATATTCTTCGAAAGTTTTTTAATTAAATAATAGGTACATAATATTCAAAAAATCAAATAATTTTTTTAAAAACATCAATTACAATTTTTCCAAGAAATAAGTTCAATAATAATTTATTGTTTTCAGTACTTTCAGAGGATACTAAAAAGAAGAATGTTTGTAAAATTTCTAGAAATTTGTTAATTTTCCACTATTTTTTTATTAAAAAAACTCTGCTATTGTTAAAATTCATAAAAATGGAAAAACAAGTCTAAAGAAATAAATTTTGGAAAGTATTTTAAATTAAATTTTTTAAATGAATTTTATAATTTTACTTTTTAGTACTAAAAAATTGTCAAATTAGAACAAAGGGGGCTTTAGATCAAAGTCGTTTTTACGTATTAAATTAAAACAAATACCGATTCAGTAACAAAAATTGTTTGTAAATTATTTATTGTTAATTAATTATTTTTAAAGAGCTTAAAGAAATTCTTCAAACGAATTTAATTATTTTCAAAAAAAATTGTAATAAAATTCTAAAAATTTTATTATTTTCTAAAAATGTTAATAAAATTGAATAATTAAATGTTAAATTTCAATTATTAAGAAACAAGATTATTTTAAAAACTTGAAAGAAATTGTTTATAAAATTCGATTACTTTCAAAATTTTCAATAAAAATAATTAAAGAAACTCCAATATTTAAAAAAAAAAATTCGAAAAAATCCTTCAAAAGAATTTAATTAGGATTTTTTAAAATTTTTAGTAAAATCCTTTGCGACAATTCATTTATTTCCATAAATAATAACATTTTTTGCAAGAATTTAATGATTTTTAAAACACTAATTTTAAAATTGAAAATATTTAAAAAGAAAAATTATTTCAAAAGTTAGAAAACAAAAAAGCAAACAACTAACATCAAATTGACAAACAGATTATATCGGAATACAATGATTATTAATATAGATAGAAGATTGGAAAAAATTTCAGCTTTCCAATGAAAATAATTTTAAAAAATAATAAAAAATGAGGTAGTTTCTGTAAAAATTGAAAATTGTCGTTTTTATTATTTATAAATTGTTTTTGACCATGGATTACGTTTCCGGGTTGTTACTAACTCCAAATGACACATTCCAATTTTTGGCAAAAAAATTTTAATTTCTTCGACATGTAATGTAAAACATTTTATTTATTGACTCCCTGAAGAGGAAATCGTTTTGATTTTGAAACGTTGGAGTGAATTTTATATTAAATAACCATTTGTCCGAATGTATTCGTGTAAAAAATTTATTACTTTTACCTACTAATTGAAAAATAAGATTTATTTTTCAAAAAAGAGGAATTAAAAGCGTTTTACCTAAAAAAATTTTCTGCACTAAAAAGTACAGAAAAATACTTTAAAATTCACTGTATAAAAATTATAAAATCTAAAATAGAAAATTTTCTATAGAATTTGTATGCATTTGAACATCTAATTTTTTTTATTAGATCAATTCACATAGAATTGATCAGTAAAGAAATTGATTAAGTAAAACGAACAAAAAAAAGAGAATTTCGAATGACAAGGATACATACATCTTTCTGTGTTTTACTATCTTCAAATTCCCTACGAACATTGGACTTGGTATCATTTTTTAAATACGTCAAATCGTGTGACAAAAGTCCACAAGATTTGCAGCAGCCCGAACAACAATCGTCCTTGGAATTGTACGTTCTGTCATCTGAAACAGTGGCTTTGACATAACTTAAGAACTCCTCCTCTGATTCCTCGTTTCTTTCGTTTTCCTCGTCGGAAAAAGAATGTATTTTTGGTTGAGGGGGAGGCAAGTGCTTCTGTATCCTTGCTTCCTTTTCCTCCTCTGTCTCGTCAATTTTTTTACGACTATTTCTAAATTTCGCTTTACGAAGATGTGATCTAACGTCCTTTCCGAACATTGAAGGTTTCGCTCCAGACGTGCGAGGCTTTCGCTCCGGTCTTCTTTTCTGACTACTTTAAAATACAATAAATTATTTATATTTTTCATTTATTATTAGAATCGTTCAATCCACTTTTCACGAGTTCTAATTGAAAATCAATCTCAATATTTAATTTATTTAAATACATACCTTGGCTCTGCCATTTTATATAAATAATTATGTTTCTCTTTAATTAGATAGAAAGTTTATTCGTATTTTAAAGCACTTATTGGAGGTGACACTTTTTTTTTTACAAATTTAATAATATTAATGTTTACGTCAGTGATTGTTTACACTTTATAAATTAGAAAAAAAAGTGAATGAAAGAAATAAATATTTTTTATTTTAATATGAATGAAGTTAGCAGCATGAGTTTTCAAAGGAATTTATTCTCATTTCTCAGCCAATCGGAATGCGCCATTAGGCCCGAAAAGTGGAATATTTGAAAACTTACCTTTAAGATCGTTAAAAGTCATGAGAGTCATGACATAACATAACCTCAAAATATTTTAAAAAGTAAACATAAACAAAGAGTTTTTTTAATTTATTATTTATTAAGTTTGATTCTATAAATCCTAGAAAAAGTCTCTAATATGTGATTGTCGATTTTATTTCTTTTCACGAGCATGCAAAATAAATTAATCAAATATTTTTCCTTCTAAACGTCAAATTTATTAGGAGTGTCAAACTTTTGTATACAAGAATTCCGTTACATTTATTTTATCAGACTAGTGTGACGAGCGACTACTATCTCGCTCGAATCACATTTCGAGATTAATCGAATCGCGATTTTTAAGTCGCGGCTTAATTAAATTTATTAAAACAAAAGTATAAAATACATATTTCGAAATATAAACCTGAGACTGAGAACGACTAAAGAATATAGTATAATAAAGTACCTAAACACATTTTCATGTTTTAGCGGATGTTATTTTAAACATTCCAAAGAATGAGTAATTGTACTTTAAGAAACTCAAAATATTTCTAAAACATCATAAAGATAATCTGGATTAAGAAACAGATGTTTTAATAAATCTAAACTCTTCGATTTCCTTCCAAACCAATATGTTTTTCTAACACTATAGGTACAATTGAAAAATACCCAAAAAGTATACTCCTTTAAGAAGTCATAAAATTAGAACAGCTTACTTTTATAGACCAGATCCTTTGTTCAGGTAATACTACCGAAATGGTACACCTAAAAACTTTCTATCCTTTTAACTTCAAAATTGTCACGTACTGGAAAAACCCAGTTTTCATTACTTTTTAGAATTGTTAATCGCTCAACTACTTTTTATAAATAATCGTAATTTCTATATTTCATTATTTCTATCAATCTAAAATTTAATCAACTATTATAATATTACTAGTAGTGAATTAACACTTGTAAATAAATTACCTTTAAGAGTTATAGTTAAACAATGAATTTGTTATAACTATCATGATCATCAGCATTGTATAATTTATTTATATAATATTTATTATAGTTGTAACACGTATGTGAGCATCGAATACAAGAGTAAATATACTTATTATAAATGTAAATATTACTATTAGTTTATTAATTGTATATAAACTGAATAATTAAAATAACTATAATATGATAAGGATAGGAATAATAAAGCTATGACGAATGTGTGTGTATCAACACCGACAGGTGTGACGTATGAAACAGTATTAGTATTGGTGAAGTGCATAAAGTGTATAGTGGGGGATACGCGTCACTTTGAACATGCGCATTTCCCCCAACCTGGACTAACAGCGGAGACCAACTCCAATTGACTATAACTACAAGTTAGATTTTAGTTGACGTTTGACTAGAAAGGTTGCTTCTAAGTTTCCTTAGTCGATTTTGTATTATTGAACTTTGATTTAATAAATTTATCGGGTTTACTCACAAGAAGTCTGATATCCATCAATAATTAATTTTATTAATTATTGATTGATTCTTTCTTGTTGTAAGGTTTTTCCCTCCGTTTTAACGGAATATTATTGTTTTTATTATTTGTAATTCCCGGTTCCTCTTAAGGATTTAGCCAAAGTTGAACTCAACGAATCATATCAGAGCACTTGAGTTTGCGTATTAAAACCCATATGTGCTCGTAACACTAGTGAGTATTGCTTTAAAATATTTGTTTCAAAAAAATTAAAAATAAGATTATACTAAAAAAAAACGGAGTGTCTATTCGGCCAGTTAACTGTCAAAATAAGGTGGTTTAAATATTCTGCCAGTGAACTGGCAGAATAAGTTAGTTTTCTTATTTGGCCAGTGTATCTAAAAAAATATACTATTAATATCTAAATCAGGCCAAATAAAAAAGAGACTCTATTTGGCCAGTCAAAATAAACAGTTTTTAATATTTCAATATACGGGCAAGCTGACATTTTGATAAATTAAAAAAACAACTAAATATATGAAGTAGAGACAATTTGTTTTCATTCTGCACAAACATTTAATTATTTTCATAAATAATACAATTATTTTTGGTAATTCAATTATTTTCATAAATAATAAAATACATCGCAGAATTTCAATTATTTTTAATACAATTTTAATCGAATTCCTCCAAAAAGTGTAATTATTCTTCAAAATTTTATTAAAATTCGCCAAAAGAATTAAATTTTAAGAAACATTTAATTATTCAATAAAATGTTTATTTTTGTATTAAAATAATTGAATTCTCGTAGAATTTTCTAATAAAAAGTTGATTTAAAAATGAATTTTAGATAATAATTGAATATTAAAAGCATTATAGCGTGAATTTTTAGAAATAATTGAATTTTGTAAAGGTTTCAAATTAAAATCTTTGAAAATCAGAATTTTCATACTTTTAACTAACAATTCTAAAGAATTAATTTTTTTGAATAATTTAAAATTTTTTTTTTAATTATTTGAAGTTTTTATTTTCTAATATATATATTTAATTGAAAACTTCCCGAATAATCAATATTTCATAAAATTTAATTGTAAACAAATGAATTTGAAAATTCTCAAGAAACTTTTGCAAAAATTAATAAAAATAATTGATAGTTGATTTCTTTTGAAGAATTTTAATAAATTCTTTGGAAACAATAACATTTTTCGAAGAATTTACTTAAAATTGTATTATAAATAATTGAAATCCTGTGAAGAATTTTATTATTTAGAAAAATAATATTGAATTCTTGGAAACAAATTTTATTACATTTTTTTTTTAAATTGAATTCTTTTGTGAAATTTTATAAAAATAGTAGATTTTGAAAATATTTGAATTTCAGCCAAGAATTTAATTATTTGTAAAATGTAATTGAATTCTTGCAAAAATTTTTTGAAATGAATTACATTTTTCGAGGAATTCATTTAAAATTGTATTAAAAATAATAATTAAAATCCTGTGAAAAATTTTATTTTTTATGAAAATAATTGAATTCTTACACAACGAATTTTATTACACTTTTTTAAATAATTGAATTCATTTGAAAAATTTTATTACTTGTAAAAATAATTGAATTCTTGCGAAGAATTTTATTAAAATTTTTGTAAATTATTTGATTTTTTCTTAAATATTTGTATAAGTTGTTGAATTTCCAAAAGGTTAGAATTTGTAATTTTTGCGAATTTGAATTCTTGTGGAAAAATAATAATGATTAAATATTTATTTAAAAAAAAGTTATTGATGTTTTGGAATAATTTTACAATTAAAGAAATTCGTAAATACCTAAATAATGTAATAAAACATTTTTTTGAGTATCTAATAATTTTTAAAGTAAATCAAAATATTCTTTAGGGTCAGGGAAAATTTTGTCTAAATTTTATCCGGAAATCAGGGAAAAGTCAGGGAAAGAATAAATTAAATTTTTGTGGCAACCCTATTTTTCAGATTCTACTTTGAAAAATATATGTCTCAAAATTTGAAACATTAAAAATTTTGAAACCTCGATTTGAAAAACCTCCATTTGAAAATGGAGTAATTTTTATTCCAGGGCAAAAAATTTAATTTTGCTAAAGATCGAGACTATTATTGGGTTCCGAACGTTAGACTTCGTGTACAGAACCCTAAAAATAATTTTAGGTTTTTATAAAAATTAATAATATTTTTATAAAAAAAATAATGTGTTGGGGTATTATTTGAAAATAATTAAATTTTTTTTTCAGAAAATATTTTCTATATTAAAATGGAAATCTTTACGTTTAACAAGAGTCTTCAGGAGAGGCTCGTTGAGTATACAGGAATTCTGTCGAATCGAGAGGAAATTGTTTCAGCCTCGCAAATTCGTTCCGAATGGTCGTATCACGTGGAATTTGTAATCGAACCAGTCGGCTGGCGTGCATTGTGGAAAATTCCAAAACTCACCTGCCAAGATTTTCAAATTCATTATCCCACAATAGTGGCCGTTGTGATTCAACAGGTGGATTTTCTCGAACTTCAGGCCCTCGTGAAGATTGTCGCCGTCCAAGAGGAGATACATTTGCCGGAAAAATATGACGTACCACTCATTGAATTGTATCCAACACAGCATCAAGACGATATTGCCTTGGATATGATTGCAACGGCAAATTGCATAGACCAACTTCGATTCTTCTACAATTATCTGTGGATGCCTTGGGATCATGACGACGACGATAATTGCGATTGGACATTGTCGCATCTTGAACCCAGGCTGAGATTGTTTTTCGACATGAAGAGAGGCAGTATTTGTAAAAAGACCTGCGACGTTATTCGAACGTTGATGAGGGAAGGAAGGGAGATAAAGGAGAAAATTTCAAGATTGGAAGTTGATATTTCTGATGATGAGGATGTGCACAATGCCTCGTTGGACGATGGCAAGGCCTGTCAATTGTTAAAGTTGCATTTTCGATTGCAACAAATTAAAACGGAAATGGAAGTTTTGGAGAATCCGGCAATGAGGGATGTGTTAATTAGAAATCAAAGTTCGAGTGTTATGGAAATTGAGAGCAAAAGGCGGGAAAGTGGAGTCAAGAAAATTGAGAGTTATTTCGTTTGGCTCGGTGGATCTTTAGATGAGACGGTTTCTTCTTTGAATCAAGCCAAAGGATTTTTACCTCCCGACACATTTGTCAAGTAAATATTCAAATTTTCATATTATTTTCAACTGGCAAAACTGAGAAACTAAAATTGAAAAAGGTTCAATTCATTAGGAGTCAAAAATTAAAAACTGTTAAAATTTTCAGAAGTAATTGAATTTACGAATTTCTTTTAAATTTTTTTTGAAAATAATGGATTTTCTTTTCGAGTAGGTGAAAATTTTTAAAGTAATTGAATTTTATGAAGAATTTCTTAAAAAAATTTTAATTGAACGATATAATTTAGAGAATTTTAGGGAAATTACAAATGACAGCAGAAATTCAAT